GTCGCGTTCGGGTTTTACGATCCATTTCGCTAAATAATCGGCGCATCATTTTTTCGCGCAGGAACAGCGAGGCGGAGGCAAAACGCCGCTGGCTGCGTGCCAGCTCTTTCTCCTTCTTTCTCTCGAAGCTATACTTCTTCGGCAGCCGCTCGTTTCTGAATGAACAATAGAAAATGTCTGCTACGCGCCGGCGCTGCGCGTCATTAATGAATACCTTGAATCGGTCTGGCCTCGAGCACGCCGGGTGTTTACCGGGTGTATACGTGCGCGGACCGTGGTCAAGTAGAAACGAGCGGCAGCGATCTCTCATGGTATAGCCAATGTCCATCCTAATATGTCCGGGGGAAACAGCAGCAGGAAGTTGTAACTTCGCCGATACACGGTTGGTAGCGCGCAACGTAATCATCTTTCAGTGAATGTAAACGTGGATTAATTTTTTCCGCGCCTCTTTGCGAATATCGACTACGTGCTGGAACGGCTCAACTCGATCCTATTACATACTTACATCATACGTGTACATCTTGCATACTCGTGTTCTGAAAGTCTCTGACATTTGTTAAGATTTAAAAAATTCAAACAACTTCCTAAATATGTATATCTATTAATCTATTTAATGAAAATACTGAATGTTGATGGTACTGTGGTGATTATTTTGCTTAGAGATTTGTTGATTACATTATTTAGGACAGTTGTTTCTAAATAGTTATGATTATAATGAATTATCTTTTTAATAAATATACGTCTTTCCCAAGCTTTATAAATCGATTCATTCTCGATTATGTTTTGCTCCGCGCATTTCAAGTAGCGGAGCTCTCTCAGAATCGAACTTGGAGCGATGTAGCGTGCGAACATCGGCGTTTTCGGAACTCGTAACAGCATCACCTGGGAAGATAGCCCAATAAACTGCCTCTCCCTCTTTTAGATATACTCATCTCACTCTTCTCCCGTTCCTTCTTCCTCTCTTTCTCTCTTTCTTTCATTCTCGACTCCCGTTTCGCCGACAGCCACTTCCCTTCTGGGAAGAGAGGCTGATCTGACTCCCTCTTTAAGTATCCTCGGGCACGCCATCGGCGAAAACCTTCGTCCTTTTGTTCCGTCCTCGCTCTTTCTTTTCTTCGCTTATTCGTTTCTTCGTTCCTTCGTTTCTTTCTTCTCGATGCGCGCGGTGAATAGAAAGAGAAAGAGAGCACCCAGTGGCGTGTGATCGAAGGATTTCTCTCATTGTCAGCAAATCAGCGTTATCAGGTGACAGCAATATTAATTGAGTCTCTTTGAGTTACAAAATTTTTTCGGCCCACAATACGAGAATTATATTGATAAAATATTTTAATTCCGCAATTAATATCAGATATTAATAATTATATTAGTTATTTTATTAATAAAGGAGCTACATAAAAAACAGTTTATTAAAGGAACTTTCGTTTTTGAAGTAATTTTAGTAACCGCATTTCTAGATGCGTTTAATAATAATAATGATAATAATTTTGGAAAATATTGATATCGCGTAATTCCTCTTCTATGATAATGGAAGCACAGATTGCGGAAAACTTAGGAGTTTTTAAACTGTCGTTGTGTTTAAGTTATTATCATATACTCTCTTCATCCATCAGTGATAATTTTTGAATAATATTTTCGAATCACTGGGATTTGTTCGTGCCTTTTCACGGCTACGCTATTGATCTTACTACACGAGATAGACCGCAGTGGAATCGGTGGGCCCCGGTACGCTACCGGTTCGGCTGTGCGAGAGCGAGGCGCACGGACACGCGCGTGCACCGAAAACCGGTGCCGTGAGATGCAGGTTTTTCGGTAGGGCACCTGATCGTAGCCCCGGATCCTAATCTGTTGGAGCTATTACGATAATACGCCCTGGTGTAAGGAAGGTTGTAGCCTCCGCTCGTTCGTTCGCTCATCCATTCGTTTACACGAAAGCGAGTAGAGACACCGGACGAGAAGACGAACCAGAGGCGAAGACGAGACTGAAGTGAGAGAAAAAGAGAGGAACAGGATAAGAGAGAAGGAAAGGAAGAGAGAGGAAGGAAGGACGCCTCTTTCCCAGAGCCGCAACGTGGTATACTCGCTTACTCTCTTTGTGCCGGATGCGTGCCGCCGACAGAGTAGCAATAGCGGACGAACGTCCGGTCTGCCCCCCCCCCCTCTCTCTCTCTCTTTTCTTTCTTCTCTCTCCTCTCTCCTCTCTCCCGGAGGCCGATGCACTTCGATCGCATCATTGGGTGTAGCGGTGCACCTCGTCGCTCTGCCTCAGTGCTGATCGCGTCGACTAATTACTATCACATCGCGTCTCATTGTTACCTGATGCGAACTCATCATTAATTTGGCGATTTACATTTTTTTATCGGGATATCTGATGTATCTATGATAATCACAGCGATACGATGTTTCTAAAGTAATATAAAAAATGTATATACATATATAATGCCTTACTTTGCAATTTAAGATACCATATAAGATTATTATAAGGAAGTTTGAATAGCTTGATATCGAAATCACTCAAACGAAACATGGTCTCATGGTCTCATGGTCTCATGGTTTTTTCAGAGAAAGTACTGATCACGCGGTTGACTACCCAGAAGTGGCTGGACGTCGGGCCAGACTGGACCGTGGACGAGTACAAGAGCGCCCATTCGCAAATGAAGTATGAATATAGGGTGACTTGCGCGCCGCACTATTACGGCAAGGGTTGCGAGGACCTATGCCGGCCGAGGGATGACAACTTCGGCCACTATAGCTGCAGTCCGAGCGGCGAGCGCGTCTGCCTCACTGGCTGGAAAGGCGACTATTGCAACACCCGTAAGTACATTATGTTCATCATTCTGCCATTCATGACCGCACCGTATTTTAAGCGGTAGCGCGGACACCCTGGTCGCTATTTATTTCCGCGTTCTCTATCACGACTGCACGCGCGCATCAGACATATCGTTTTATCTTTCTCAATTTGTAATAGTAACGATAATCATTTAGGCTAAAAAGAACCTACCAAGTAACGGCTAATCACTATTGATGAATGAATCGTGACGCGATTACGAAAGTCGTTAGGGAATTATCAAAGACTGCATGCTTGTTTTACGTTCTCTCAACGTAATCCCGCATTTCTTCCAAGGATTTTGCGATGCACGCGGTTATTAACAGGCAACGCTGCTGCCTCCGCGATCCCTACCGACGTCGAATATGCACGCTACCTCGGTAAACGACGATACTCTCGCGAATTGCCCGGCGCGGCTTGCCGAACGAACCGTTCCTCGCGTTCTCTCTCGCTCTTTACGTTCTTTCAAAGCCCGGTGTCTCGCCGCGCGAAGGAGAGGCCCGGTGTAGTCGGTGGTGGTGGTGGTGGTGCGCTGCAGCGCGGCACAGCCGAGACTTCGAAGCGTGCAGCAGCTTCCCACGCTTGGCTCGCGCGTGTGCGAGTATTTCCTCTCTTTCTCTCTTCCACTCCCTCCTTCGTCCGGCTCTCTTTCTCTACTCTTCTCCGTTCCGCGGCCTGACTGTGCAGCATCCCTCTCTTTTTCACTCTCGCGTACCTGCGAGCCGACCGCGACCTAATCCGTGTGCACGTGTAATGATCCGAGATTGTGTGAGCGAAGGAGGCAAGGGGGCGAAATCTGCCTTCGTGTGTGGCTCTCTCTCTCTTTCTCTTACGATCTATCTTTCTTTCTCTCATTCTTCTCTCTTTCATTCTCCTTTTCCGTCGAGACTCGGTCGAGACTCCGCGCGAGTCGGATGGAACGGTCGTGTCTGTTACCGGAGTCACAGTCGTCGATGTCGAAGCTCCTGGCCTCTGATGCGTACAGGTTCGTATCCGCACCTGGTGTCCGACTGCGTCTGACCTGTACGTACAAAGGTGCTTTTATTCACCAGAGGAAGGGACTTTTCATTCAAAGAATCCAGGACTCGTTTTCACAGATTGTGTCGAATTGTTCGAACAGACAAAAGCTAACCGTTGCTCTCCGACCACGCCAAGTGTCGTCGAATAACGTCTTCAGATTTCGCGAGGAATGTGAGAAAAAAATTCGGGAAAAAGCAATGTATCATTCTGTCTGTTTAATCCTGGAACTGGAGTTTGTATTACTTAAATTATGGTGTTAGAATATTACGTGATCCCAAATCATTTCAAAGTAGATAATCTATAACTTGCATTTTTGTGTAAAAGATAATATGAATATATATCATAAGCGTGTTTTCTATCTCGTTTATACGTTTTTACGCATAGAAAATATCTGTTCCAATATTGAAGGTTAACGTTGTTCAATCTTACGAGTTTAATGTATGAAGCTATACGTTACGTCTTGGATCATATTCCTCGAGGTTTCCACTTTTCCACGAGCTTTCTTCGTTTATGCCAATTCTCGGTTCCCGAATTCCATACTTTCTCGAATCCGATCGAAGTGAAAGATCGATCGTAGGCGAAGTCTCTCCGTGTGTGGGGCCTCGTCGGTCCCCGGTCGTTGCACTCGACACCGAGTGCTCGGGGCCGCCGCGATCGACAAAGTTCGCGCGTCGATTACTAATGGACTACTTTTCATTTTGTAGATATTCTTCGACTATCGTTCGACGAGTCAGTTGTTCGAACAATTTTTTAGAACTTGTATCGCATTCTCCAATATTGGAAAAAGTAGGATTTAAGAGAATTTTTAATACAACCAATGATCTTCATTGACATTTGACTTTTAATTCATATCACTTTTTTTGCTGGTAAAACAGACGAGACTGTAAAAAGAAAATCGATTTCGAAACGCGTTTACCAAAGTAATGATATGCAATAAACCTCGATTGTCCGCTACCGCAATATTTCACACGATTATGCAGCCTAACAAGAAGCGGCAAAATCACTGTCGCGCTCTCGCTCGACGAGCAATCGGCCGCGAAACGTCAGGAAATACGACGATATAAATCACGAACGGCAGACTCTCCTTCGGAACGAGTCTCGCGAGAACACAAAAGGACTTTCACTTCTTCGGAATCTGCTGAAACGGTCGTATCTCGCGTTCGATTTCGCTACTTCCGCGTTGTATCTTCCCGAATTTTAACAGTGCATTTTTCTTTATTTTTTATATATCTTTTTTACGTATTTGTGTTAATGTTCTAGAGTACAGAAATTGTCGTGCAGAAATTTGATTATATCATTACGATACTGTAATCATAGATGGATTTACGTAAAAATTGTCACCTTCCGAAGAGATTAATGATGTCGCAAGTGCGTTAATATGATTTTTGCTTACTCGAAGTCGCTTTATCATCTATTTTTCCTCATCCATTCGTCTAAGGTTTCGTACCCCCTCGTCTAATCTAAATCGATATCCAGAAAGTACTTGTCATCGGACATTCTCGCGACCAAATTGTCGCATTTTGCCGAACATGCACTTTCTCTGCAACGGCTTCGATCGCGTATGACGAAGGGTTAACTCGCTCTATCCCGTTAACCCCTTGGTGAGAGGGGTGCTTCGGTCGGTAGGTCGAGAATAGACGATCGGGCACGCCGCCGCAAGCAGTCGAACTCTTTCGGGGGTGCCGATACGTAAGCGTTATATAGGGGTTGCTGGCGGGCGCGCAGAGAGAGAGCAGCTGCAACGCGCGAACGAGCCGGCCTGAGCGAGTTGGGCCCTGACAGCTGCATCGAGAGGACGGTGCTTTAACTAACAGCTGCCCTGTTACTCGCACTCGCAGTCCACGTACATTCCGGCTCCTCTATTCCCCTCTCTTTTCTCCGTCCCTTCTTATTCCTGCAGTTTTTGTTACCCCTCTGCGAGCAACGCAGCACTTTTCCGAATGTACCTTCGATGTCCCCTTTTATCTTTCGGTCTACCTGACGGAACTTTTCAAGTCGAATTGTGCCAATTGTGATATAAGCTTAGCTTAGAGTGACCTAGACTTTAACGAGATCATCATTAAATAAGGCAGGCAGTAATAATAGCTACCTTTAGGGATATGCTATTCAATCGAAAATTCGTATCGGTTTTTGCCTAAAAACTTGATCACAATACATGTAATTTCGATGAAAAGACTAATTCTTATAATCCTCTAAGTGATTTTACGAGTCAACGAAAATTTTGAATACTAAAATCTTGTTTATATTTTATATCCTATAGAAAAATTGTGGCGGTGTTCTTCTTTCATCTGACTTCTATAAGTAATCTCGTGGGCTACATTTAGCAGGTAGTGTGCCATAATACGGCAGGTATATATATATATGTATATATAGGCGTGGCAAAAGATGGTGACAATTATTCTCGCAGGAAGGAAAAGAAAGAGGTTTTGAGAAAGGAAAAAAAGGTGGACAGTGGTTTTTCATCAAGGGAAGTCGGTGCTGATGACCGTTTTGAAAGGAAATCTGTGGCCGTGGATAGAAAATCAATAAGTACGTTGCGGAACTAGAGAACTTCGGGGTGTACGGTGTATCAATGGGCTGTGTGGCTACGTATGTCTTTCTTTGTCTCTTTTTCTTTCTCTGTTTAGGACGTTTCAGACGTTAAAAGAACCGATGTGCAAAAGTCGGCAGATTCATTCAAAATGACATTTGCGAATGTATTATATGTGTATGTTACCTGCTATTCAATATATATATGGTCTCAATATAGTATTCAGTAGGCCCATTTACATGCAATAATTTTTTAAAACTTTATCACTTATATAGATTATTAATTTTGTGATTAATTGTTTGTTTTATGCAAATATCTAAACTAAGATTTGTCCCTATATATGTTTGAGTATTAAAAAAAAAAATATTTTTAAAATTAAAGCGGTTTCTCAATTGCATCAACGTCCACAATTTTCAGAATGTAATTTCAATTAACATTTAAAATATGTGGTGAAGTAATAGTTAATATATAGCAAAATATAATAAGTAAATATTAATTAATTAATTAGGTCAGCTTGATGATATGAAAATGAAAACAAGCTAGTTAGTATTGTTTAATTATTAATTTCAATTGACAGTAAAATGTACAGATATCAAAATAGAAATGAATAATTGTTATTATATTATTTCGTGTTATCGTTACCAGCTTGACCTAATAACCGTTTCAATCGTTTACAGTGTTTCATAAAGCCCTGCGGGATATATAATTTGCAATTCGTTGTATTATATATAAATATAATTTAATTGCTCGTTGTTTTGTTAAATGCTGACTATATTCGAGAGCTCATATCAATATTCTGTTAGATACAATGCTTAATTTGAGAAACGCATCGTTGAAATATCGTGTCGAATGAAATGCGGGAGGATCTTCGACGTCTTCTTCTCGGAACACTTTGGTCGGCTTGGAAGATCAGCGTTCCGCGGGAGGAGAACACACGGCGAATTTATAGCCCACCTCGCAAGGTTTTATCTCGAAAAATCGCAGCGGCCACAAATCGGTCGTAAATAATCCTCGAAGGGCAAGATTTGTCGCGGCTTACGAGATTTGTTTAGTCACTGGTTTCTCCCCGTCGCATCTCCTTCCTCTCGCCAGGGAGAAAAGGACCCTTCTTCCCTTTTCTTCTTCTTCGGCAACGGTATGGCGAAAAGGTGGTATACTAAATGGGAAGAGGATGAAGGAGAGAAGGAAATGGTGGAGGCAGGGAGGGTCGCAGTGGAATCTCTGCGATTCGGTCGTTCGTCGACGATACACCGACGGCCGGCGAGGGCACGAGGAGAAGAGATCGCGGCGGCTCCGACGGCGGGGCTAAGGGGGGTCGTATCTCTCGTTCTCCGCTCTATAAATACCATACTCCTTAGCGCTCGGCCTGTGCCATGCTATACCGCGCGCTGCACCGCGCCGCGCCACACCGTGCCGTGCCGGAGTTGGTCCGTCCGTCCGTCCGTCCATCCGACCGGCCATGGCGAGTAAGAGAGTCGGGCCGTTGCGCTCGGTGCCAAGGTCACATGGCCCTCGTGCTGCTGCTAGTCCTGCTCGCCGGCCCTGCTTCGCGCCGAACCGTGTCGGAATCGTCGAACCGCCGCCCTCAACCCTTTCATTCACCGGCATCGAGCGTATACCGGGATTTTTTCTTTCGATTTCCAACCTGGTTTTTAGTCTCGACGCTGATCGACGCCGTTGGCAAAGTCGTTATTTTTATCGAGCGTTTTATCAGACTGACGAAGTTTAATTAATCCCTGTGGTAATAACAGCGGCATGATTGAAGACGGTGTTCTAATAAACTTTCTTGCACAATACATTAGTTTTTAGACATGAATTTTGGATTTAACGTTTTTCGAACCTGTCCGCTTGCGTTGATAACTGACCACGCGAAATCGTGGTCGGTTATCGCGCTGTCGTGTCTCCCTAAAAGAGTTAACAAGGTGACGAAGAAGGAATCTAAACGGGTGAATCCATCGATTCCTCGCATACTTACACGCGGCGCGGAATTAATGAAATTGTGTCACGCATCGTTCGATGTGTGTCGTCTAGTTCGCGAATACCCCCCCCCCCTTTCTCGTGAGGAAGGGGAAATTCGCGCTCTCGGTAGTTGGCCGGTAGCCATCGAGTTTACGTATGCGGCAGGAAAATTAGTCAACTAGGTACCGAGGCGATACCAGAAGCAAACGCTATACCGCACGTGATGCGTGTCGCTCGCCTCGCCTTTAAACGGCCCGCATCCGGGGTGCCGTTATAGACGTTCCCCCAAATTCGACCGAGTCATTCGTTTGTGGTTTACTCGCCCGATAAACAAATGGAATACGCGTCTTTTGTGAGGTACCACCACCTGTTAATTTTTCCGTTTCCCGTATTAACGTTTTAATTATTTTGACTAGCATTTTAGATATAAAAAAGGATAAAGTTTATCAAATTAAAAACATTTCATAATAAAAGTGCAAACGTAGAAATAAAGCTATAGAAATACAAAAAAAAAATAAAACGCAATCTTCAGTCAGTCAGAGGTCAGTTGGACTATTCGGTTGTTGCGAACTTAATCACCGCTAATTACAGCATCACATGCTATAAACAATTACAGCACAGAAGTATTATATTTTATGTCCCGAAATGTAAAGAAGGACGAACTACCGTACGCGTGTATGCATGCCATCGGACGTATATTATCGTATATACACCGTATTCACCGCTCGCTCGTGCAGTCGTGAGGGACGCGATCGACCTCTCGCCGAGAGTTGCCTTAACCTCTTGGATTTTTTCTTACTCATTTCAGCCCGCTGCCTGCCCGGATGCGACGAGCAGCACGGACACTGCAATCGACCCAACGAATGCATGTGAGTATACATACGCCGGCATTCGCCTAATACTTGCACGTGCGCTTGTGGTGTGTGTGTGTGTGTGTGTGTGTATGTGTGCATTGCGCCGCCCCATACAACCGCCAACTAAATTCCTGGGCCCCGACACGGTGCATCCACTCCTCTGTATGCACCGCCGCGGCGTATGCATGTACGCGCGATAATAATTACGCGCATACCTATCGTAAATTATCGTTCGGCGCGGTTTCGAAAAGGTATACGCCAGCCAGCAGCTCATGGATCCACGTCACGATTCCAGTAACGCTGTCCTACACAAAGTATCCTAGAATCGTTTCATTCTCCCTAGTCCCTCGCGAGATGTTACAATTCCAATTGGAAGAAGTACCGATGATGATTCATCTTTGACGATTCATCTCGTTTTTTTTTTTGTTATCGATCTGTTGCATATTTTATATCGCAAAAGTTTGAGGAAGAAGGATAAAGTTCAAAAGTATAATAAACGAATCCTATTTTGCGAATAATTTAAAGTCAACAATTTTAATTAATAATTCCATTTGCGTGCCGTATAATGTAATGTTACTGCTAACTGAAGACGCATACGCGCCGCGCACCCTTAAGAATCCTGTTACGGCGCGGGCATTCATGACGGCATTACAAGTGCGCACCCGTTGTATATTATCGTACGCATATTTTCGTAACGCTTTTATGAGCGTGCGCACATATAGCGAGAAGGAAGAACGAAGTGGAATTTGAAGTTCCTCGGCTGGCTTTCCGTTCTAACGAGGCAGTTTCCGAGGTGCCAATCGTTCTTGCTCTTTCTTCCTTTCCTCGATTCTATCGCCCCTTTCTTTCCTCTTCCTTCTCCTTTTTTCCACTTTTACCATCTTTCCCTCTTTGTTTCTTTCTCTTTTTCTTTTCTTTTCTTGGCTCGCCATCCGACGTGTTATTGAACTTTCCGATTTAATCCGCCGTTTGGCAAAATTCCTGGATACCTCGACGTTTCCGCGTTTCCTTAAAGTTCTTCGCATAGTTTCAGTCTAATCTCTTTTCCTTTTCTTCAGCAAATGCAAGGACATTCCATAAATTATGTGGTAGTATTTTCAAATATTCTATTTTATCAGATCCGTCAACAAATTTGCAAAACTTCCTTTTTCTTCTTTTTTATGCAAACTTTTTTTTATGCAAAATATATCGCAGTTAAATAATACGATGGCTCGCGAATCTTGTTCGCGAATGTCACGCGTTTTATAACATATATCGCGTCGCGCTGACATATCGGCTCAAATCTCCGCCTGGTCGCGTTAACCCCAGCTTTAGAGTTAACTCAATCATCTAATTACTCTACGACCAGGGTTAATTGTCCTGTTAGCCGCAGCTACGAGTTCGCCATTCGTGCCTTATTCATGGTCCCTTCGTTCTCGCGTGATTTTTCAAGCAAATCCACTTGAAAAGGAAATATATATACGGGACACTACATAATGTGTAAAGTTACCCAATTTTCTTATGTTAACATCCACGTACTGTTTTTCGCTCAATCAATTTAAAGCTGACTTTTCTGTAACGATAATTTATTCAATTATAATCTTTCTCTCATGATTTTTTGTGTATCGCGTTTAAAATGCATTTAAAAATTTTTTTATTTTTCGTTTCTCTCATTTCTTTCGTAGTGTTCGTTTCGAGTACCGTCTCCGTTAGAATTGGTGCCGTCGCGAGGCTCAAAGTTGCACGATTGTGAAAGGAGGAACGGCGATGTATTTTCCCGCACTGCGAAATATACATCGCCGTCGTGAGTTCTCCAACGATGAATATCGAGAGTTTCTCGCGATGGCAGCGAACGCACTATGCAGACTATGCGTGTCTGCCTCTACCGAGAACACGTAACGCCGATAGTTAAATCTGAGAACGAATCGATTCCGAACAATTCGCGAACCAATTTCAGATTGCTCCAGCTCTCTAAAACTCACTAATTAATTTGATTACCAAAAATTTATATAGGTATTTATGATAATTTATCATATCGTGAATACCTATATAAAAACTCCGCAAACTTGTAGAAAATTAATAAATTGTACAATCATTGTGTAAAAAAATTTCTTTGCGATGTAAGTCATGTATATGGTACGTCGTCTCTTGGTTGAGTATTATTATTTCGTGCACCATTTTAATACGGTCATTATGATGGCATGGCACGCAACGAACGTTAATTACGCGCGCGCACATTACGCGTACACGCCACCTTCGTTACAGGCAAATTTTTTTTATATAACCTTAAGACCATTCTCGACGCTCGAATCCGATGAATAAAAATTACATGAATGTAACGGACTTTGATCGGCGTTAACCTTGATCGCACTCCACGTGCACGCGACAATGGCTGACGCATGCCGCTTTACACGCCCCGATCGTAGATGATTACATAGATTGCGGGAATGGAATTACGATATGCTCGTTTTCAGTCGCATAGCGTATATTCGCGTATACTCGGAAAGGACGATAACAATCGTTTCGAGGTGACGGACCTCGCCGGACTCGTGGGATATCGCGCTCGTGATACGTGGAAGAATCACGGTCGTTGGACGCCCCATTGAAATTTTGGAGCCCGCGTGCGGTTGTGCGTGCGTGTGATGTCTGAATACCGATGACGATGCATCGACGGTTACGATCTCTCGCCTCTTTGAGGTGAGAGCATCGGACGACGTCGCTTGAACGTAAAAAAGGAAATCCAAGGAAGAAAAGATAGAGCCATAAGACACCTGTCATATTTCGACATTTGATTCCTTAGGAGAATTAAAATTAGAATTTGGTATAAAATTATACGAATTTACATTTTAAATTCTGTGCGTATATCCCAGTGATATAAGTACAAGTCACATGCACGTACAAGAAATTTACATTTTTCTCGGTGAACGTCAAAATTAAATCTCTCGATTTTCTGTCACACTTCGCGATATTATTTCGATTAGACTCCGTTTAAATAGCCGCATAACAACAGGCAAAGGTCAAAGAACGCACTCGAACGCGTCTCGAACGTGGCGCGATATCCTCGCATCTGATGGCACAGAATCGCAAAGAGAGGCGGAGGAGGAAGAGAAGATGAGAGAGAGAGAGAGAGAGAGAGATAGAAGTCGTCCCCTCTCGTCTCTTTCAGAGAGACATTTAACCGAGTCCGATATGCGCGCGAGATTTCCATAGCCGACCGGAGAGCCAATCCTCCTTCTCTACCTTCTCTTCTTCCTTCTTCTGTTCCCCTTCGCCCTCGTCGGTGCATGACCTATCCCTCGGTGGTAATTATGGCACAGTCGCGATTCTGTTGCGGCCTAGCCGCAAAGTAGAATGCGCGATCACGTGGACGCCGCTCGCCGGCGTTTTTTCGGGAAGTACACGTTTCTAGGAGTACACCTTCCACCTTCGTCTCTCGCGGTAACCAACGATCACGAGTAATCCGCGCGGCACAGTTCGGCTGACTTTCCAACCCCCTTTGGTCCCGTTTCGTCTCTTTCTTTACCACTATTTTCTGTCTCTCTATCTTCCCTCACGCCCCTTTCTCCTTCTCTCTCTCTTATTCTTCCTCTTAGTTCGCGACGGTTTTTCTCTTTCACTCTCTCTTTTACTTTGTACATAGGACTTAATGGTATAGTCATGCAACGTCCACGGCTGCAGTTTTCCCTCTGCCATCTCCTCCTCTTGCTTCTTCTTCGGCTCTTCGTTCATCTTTCTCTACCTGTCTCTCTTACCCTTCTCTCCCCATATCTTTATTCTCTCACTATCTCTTTCTGACCACGATAGTCACAGCGAGAGAGCGACTGTGTAGTGACGTATATACATGCAGATACATGCAATAGTGTGGGGCACCGTGAGCAGGCGCGCGCGAGCGCACGCACGCACACAGAGGAGAGTAACCTTTCCTTGACCCGCATACTGAACGGCTGTGCCGAGGCTCGAACCGTGGGAACACACTACTCGACGACTCATCCCCCACCGCTCCGTCAGAATTCTACTTCCCCCCTTCCACCTTCCTTCTTACTCTTCTGCTCCCTCCGCGCCGCCGCGCCGTCCCTGTCGGTCCCGCGCATCTCCCTCTCTCTTCCGTGAACTCTTCCTCGCCGCTGTCTTTCTCCCGCTCTCTCTCTCGCATCCCAGGCCCCCTGTCCCCCACTCTTCAATGACTGCTTCTTCCCGTTCGCGCCACCTTCGGTCCCTTCTCTATCCCTTCTCTCTTTTTCTCAACGCGCTCGTGTGCGCTCTATGCACACATTGAAACTGCTTCTCTGGTATATGCATATGTGTTTGTAATATGTGTGTGTACACTTCACAGGGCACACACATGTAGCATCTTCTTTTCATTCCACCTCTCGTTCTTTCGTTATCTCTGTCTGTCCTAGTCTCTCTTTCTTCTTCATACCTTCGTGAAGCATAACCCCCGCACGTAATGTAATGGCCGACCAGCGTATCATCCTCATCTCCTGGCATGCCACCCTCTCACCCTTCACCAGGCATTTTATTCTACCTCTCTCTCTTTCTCTTCTATCGGTTTTATCCACTTTTAAGATATTCCATGTCGTTGTACGTTGCCTCCCCCTCTTTCCTGTTTCTTGCCGGTTATTCTCCCCTCCGCGTACAAACCGCGAATCTTTTCTTCCTTCGCGACTCGACCGAGAAGTCCTCGTGCCATCCTTTCCTCTCTCGTCTTCCTGCCACATATACACATACACATCATTCGGTGCGTCGTCGCCGACCTCTGTCCTTTTTTCGTTCTCCCTCTCGCTCTCTCTTTCTCTTTCCCTCTTTCTCTCGTAAGAGCTCTCCTCGTTCACGGGGTTTCGTCGATCCTCTTCTTGCACCCATGACTGCCTTCTGTCCATCACCGGTGAAACTCTTCTCGAAACTCGTGACGGACGGAAGACAGAAGAGGGTGGGAGGGACTCGAATATCGAAGTACGCAGACCCAAACTTCGTTTCACGATTGGATCTCTGTCAAAACACGGCCACGATGGTCTAACCAGACCTAATAATACCAACGCGTGGGTCATCCATCCAAGCGCCAATCTCGCTGGGCACTGTCCTGACAGGATCCGATAATATATACAGCTAGTAGGGAGAGAATGATTTATCTCCGAGGATGATTCAGCTTTCGTGGAAACCGTGACATATCTTCGTCATCCATTTACTCTGCCGGTGGTATCCAACTGTAGATAGATATGATACGTGTCAGCCTTTTGATTTGTTTCTTATTTTATCGTAATCGCGCGCGAGCATCCGAGCACCGCTAAAGAGCCATGTCCTGTCGTATTGTTGCAGATGTCACAATGGCTGGAAGGGCTCACTGTGCAATCAGTGCGTTCGATACCCGGGCTGCCTCCACGGTACCTGCCAAAAGCCCTGGGAGTGCGCTTGCGACGAAGGCTGGGGCGGACTGTTCTGCAACCAAGATCTCAACTATTGCACGAATCATAAGCCGTGCATGAACGGCGGCACCTGCTTCAACACCGGCCAGGGCTCATACACCTGCTCGTGCCCGTCAGGCTTCACCGGCACGGAGTGCCAGACGCCGCTCTTCGACTGTCATTCGAAGCCCTGCCTGAACGGCGGTACCTGCACGATGACGGAGTCGCCGTCTGTGAGCTACGTGAACGGCAATGGCACCGAGTTATCGTCGTCCTCTAGACAGCAACATCGCCGTGGCTATCGTTGCACCTGTCCACCCGGTTGGCGCGGTCGACACTGCGAGATCACGACGCGATCTTGCCGGGACTCGCCTTGCCGACACGGTGCCACCTGCGAGGACGACTCTATGCGCGGCTACGTGTGCCGCTGCCCGCCCGGCTACACCGGTACCGACTGCGAATCGCAGGTCGACGAATGCTCGCCGAATCCCTGCGCGAACAACGGCACCTGCACGAACCATATCAACGGTTACCGATGCACGTGCCTCGCCGGCTTCACCGGCGAACGCTGCGAGATCAACGTGGATGACTGTCAGGGCGATCCGTGCCTGAACGGCGGCACCTGCAAGGACCAGGTGAACAGCTTCCGCTGCCAGTGTATACCGGGTTACGTCGGCAGGCTCTGCCAGGACAAGGTAGACTACTGCCTGGCGAAACCGTGCGCGAACGGAGGCAGATGCACTTCTGGGACCAACGACTATCATTGCACGTGCAAACCCGGTTTCACCGGCAAGGACTGCAGCGTCGATGTGGACGAATGCCGGAGCGCACCGTGTCAGAATGGCGGTATATGCCGGAACCGCGTCAATGGCTTCTTGTGCGAATGTCCGAACGATTGGCATGGCGACACTTGCAGCGACAAAGCCGGCGTTGCAGTGGTACCGTCGATCGCATCACCGTCCGCGCCCGCAAACGTGCCGCTGGCGGAACCGTCTTCGGGCAACAACCATTGGCCCGGAAATTTATCGAAGCACGTCGCTTCCAGGAAGACCAGCTTGACTACGGAACACCTCGTAATGATCGCGACTCTTTCCACCGCAGTACCGGCCTTTGCGCTGTTCGCCGCAGTCGCGGTGATGTGCATGAAGAGACGACAGAAGCGGGAGCAAGCAAAGGCAGACGAGGAAGCGAGGCTACAGAACGAGAGGAACGCGGTGCACAGCAGCATGAGCAAACGCAGCGCCAGTACCATCGGCGTCGGAAGCAATGGCATTGGCAGCGTCGGCGTTCTCCTCGGCAGCCCCGGTAGCGGCCTGATCGGCACTGGCGGCGGTAGCGTTTGCGCCTTAGGCACCGGCGACGCGCACATGATTAAGAACACCTGGACGGCAAGTAAAAGTGTCAACAATGTGGCGTCGGCGGCGTCGCGACAGGACGACCTAGACTCGTCGTTCCAGACTGATGTGACGTTGGATAGTTCGTGTTCGGGTTATAAGCCAGAGCCAGTGCTGCAAGACGGTCGGACAACAAGGACGACGAAACAGCTCAACACGGAGGCGGCAGCCCACCGGGCGTCCGCGCACCTCTTCCAGAAGGAGAAGGACTGTCTCGGCCTAGGCTTCGGTATCGGGGTCCTGGAGAGTGCCAAAAGGTCGTCCGTATTTGCCCCTGGCAATGCGGCGGACAGTTGTTGCGCCGCGGAAGCCGCGCTGATGAAGAGGCCGACGACGATATCGGAAGCCAACGGCGCCGGTGTCGTCAGTAGTGGTAGTAGTGGTCCACCGGGAAGCGGTGGCGGTGCCACGGACAACAGCAATTGCGGTGTGTACGTGATAGACGATCATTACGTCAGGCACGACGCCACGCTGGCGGCGACGCTCGCGACGGAAGTGTAGTAGACTTCGGGATGTTGGATTTCCCCTACTTAGAGTGATAGAGAGAAAGAGAGAGAGAGAGAGAGAGAGAGAGAGTGCGTGAGAGAAAAAGAGAAATAGAGCCAGTGCGTGTGCGTGTGCGTGTGCGAATCGTGGATCTTGTTTTCTCCGTGCGCGTAAATTGACAGACCACCCCGTTCGATTTCCTTCGATTTTTCTCGAGCGGCGCCACCGCGATATATACCCTCCGGGACGGCGACGCCTTCGTCTCGGATGCCTCCGGGTGTTTATTTCTTTTTTTTTATACATATATATAAATTTTTATTACATCTTTTTGCGAAGTACTTGTGCATGAGCGATTGGCGCCGCTAGTCGCCGGTGGGACTCCGCGATTGAATCATCGTTTCGGGGAGAAATACGCGTTGCATCGGCCAGTTTTACCAGCCACGGGTGTATGTCGTCTCTATTATACTGGAACGAGAGCGATGACGGACTGACCGAAGACGTTCGTTCGGGGCTGATCGAGAGAGGCGACAGAGACAAGGAGAAGAATTAACGCGATGCTGTGGGGGTCGGCCGGTTTCCTCGGGCAGCCGCCGACCCATCCTTAGGTATTAATATTATTATATCGTGCTCGAAAGTGAAACTCTGTACAGAACTAATTTATTATTATTGTTATTTACTTATTGTATTACTGATTGCTATTAATTATTATTATTATTAATATTATTACATCGTGTCGCATTATCATTGTTCTCGGTATTAGTTCTTTTTCGAATTTGCGTGATCGAGCTGCCGACCGGGGCAAGAATACGACAGCGAAAGATCTTTTGTGTATATTATTCGTGTGCGTGTGAAAATGGATGAGCATGTGTGCAGAAGAGCATGTGTATGTGTGATTGCGAGCGAGAAAGTTTAACGACGGATTAGCATCTTCGGAACGACGTCGTCTTTTCGTATTCGGAATTAATGTTTCGTGTAACATCGCTTCTTTTTTCCTTTTTTTTTTTACAAAGCATTCCTTTTCTCAGAAAAAAAATACCGACGCATGAACTTCCGCTTGTCACAGTGGCAATGACGTCCAGCGATGAAAAGCATAAAAATTATTATTTATAATGACACTTCAAAAGAAACGTTCCCTCGACCTTTTGGGATTCTTCATTTCAGGGATAACCCCGATTGGTCGAGGAATGATCCTCTAAACTTCCGTTTGCACGCCAATTTTCAACCGGCTCAAAGGAACGTTTGGAAGGAAGAATGGAAAGCGACGCATGACTCTTAACAAAGTTCCGTCCTCTTAATCCGAAAACGTCGTCATTCCATCGCGATAATTCGAATAAACTTAATATGTGAAAATTGAACGATGCGATAGTTAGGCAGATAGTTTTCGTAGAAAAAGATAAATAAATATCGAGTAATTGCAAGAAGAGAAAGCCTGTTTATGCGAAGCCTATAAATTCTTTGACATATTTTCATTGAATTCAACCCAACTTGTATCTAGGGGAATATGATAGTGAGAAATTTATTCATTAATTTGAAAAATTCCAAAGAAATCGCGTAGCGTTGGCTTTACTTCGTTGAAAAAAAATCATCAATTTTCTACGAATCCTATGTTCGCTACACAGACGACATGTACCGTTCGACGAGACATTGTTTGCGCTACGTACGACTGAAAAGACGAACGGATGTGTATAAATTATGCAAATATCTATATATATATATATATAGAGATATATATATATAAATAAATAAAAATAAATATATATAAATGAACAATGAAGTGAGAGATAATAGATATCCGGCGTCGTCGACAGCGTTTCGACGACGATGCGATTTGTTCCGAAGTGATTTGGCATCGAAATCGGCTAAAGAGGCGAATCGAAAGAGAAATCAAGCGATCATCGTCGCGCGAGAGAACGTCGGATTGAATGCTCATCGATTACATCTAATCGTAGCGCAAACTTCTCTTCCCGAACGCGAATATCTCGCAGAGATGTCTAAAAGATAATTCGGACATTCGAAAGTTCAGCACTTCTTTAAAAGAGAACATTCTAATTTTTCAGATGTCTTTTTCTTAGATATCTTGTGGATTCTCGCATTGTCTCTTTCTAGGATTCATACTTCCGGAAAGCGATGAGGAACCGGCGTTTGAACTGCGATTAAAATTAAGATTTCGGCGGATTCGGTCGTCTCTTCCGCGTTTATTCGCGCCAGACGGACGAATCCGTGAAATAATCAAATCGTGTTGTCCGCGTTCACTCGTGTGAAAAAAAAAAAAAAAATCTAAAGAGATCAGGAAACAAGAAACAATTCGGTTTTTACAGAACTTACATCATTTTCACCGCCATTAGCCGCGCTTATTTCGATGGAACGCTCGCTGACTTCGCCCATGAATGCGTGATAGATAAGTGACGATTATTGTATGTTGATGCTGCACGGTCGATTATGACAATTATTTATTTATGACGGCTGATGACGATTTTACACGGCGTAAAAAAAAATAAATAAATGGCGATTAGTACGCCGATGACAGTGATGACGATATTATCGCGTTAAAAACGCGCGTGTAATGTACGAAGAGAAAAAAAGTGAGTGAGAGAGTGGATGAGTGAAAGAGAGGGAGAGAATTTTAGCGAACAAAGATTCGATGATGTTCCTGTTACGAAATAATGATAATTAAATAAACGAAATGCAAGTACCGACTAAGTCAGGTTTATTTTCGGGTCTCGTTCGCGCGCGGTGGCGCAAACAGGGTGTTTCTTTTGCGTTGTGATGATGATTATGTGACCGTCATGTGTATACCGTAATCGGTAACGCTTTATTTTAGATAACAGCGACCATATACACGATGACATCTGCGGCTCGATCAAAGAATCGCGATGAATCCAATTCCCATCTGGCTTCCATCTTCCAATCCTTTCCTTCACCCCCGTTGAGCCCCCGACGGCCGCCGTCGCGCGCGTACAGACTCCAAATTAACGAGAAACACGTGCGTGTAAATGCGAGATTATATTGTACGAATTACGATGTGTAATAAAGCTGTTGTCATTTTTTGTACTTACACTCCTTCAGACGATTTGATACGTTTCGCTATCGTTGAACAGTCTCCATCATTCCCATCCGTTTATTCCTTTGTCCCGCTCCCAATTAGATTCTATCAACGACGTTTAAAACTTTTAGACTTTCGAATTAGAATTAATTTTTTTTTGTACTAGCGATGCGTATTCGCGAAAAAAAGGAAAATAGTGTTTTCCGCTGATAGTGACCTTTCGTTCGCGACGAGACATTGACGAAGATTGTAAAGACTATCCCAGGCGTACCATACCCCGTTTTTGTATAAAACAGAAAGAAGATAATATGCACACAGCGTATACATACACAGACATACACGCAGCACATCTGTATATTTGTAGTAGGACTATACAATTGCGATTATTATTAATTATTAATATTATTATTAATATGAAACGTGTAAATAGATGAATTGTCAATATAACGATGTCACGCAAACGACAGTGGACGATTAATAATGATACATTAAAAAATGAGCTCTGGTATATTTTTCGTCTCTCCCGCTTCCTTTTTAATCTCGTTACGTAATAAAAATTTGATCGTGTTGTGAGTACACGAGGTTTAACGTACATAATATAAGATGTTTCAAAAAGGATTTTAATAATTAATTTCTTTAATCTTCGCAAATCAGAATAAATCTCTAGTTTTAAAAATATCTTAACGATTGAAATTTGTGTTGATGTTTTGTTAAAAGTAGTCTTCAACTCTTCACTTTGATTCAGGTAAACAAATAACGTAAGCGTACGTTCATTATTTCAATGTATATAATACAAGAAAAATATCTACGTGACTTCTCGCTTCTAATATCATAATTCTCAGTATGACAGAAAAGAATTTAAATCACTAGAATTTAGCTCCTGTGGGAAGCGCTTAATTCCAGGACACTGTATTAGTCACCCATCGAGCGCGCTTTCGAGGCCAGGCCGATACCGGCTCGTCGCTATTTCTGTGTTCGTCGTCGTCACGAGCAGCGCTTAAGGAGGCAGGATACGAAATACATCGCACGACGACAAAGGCTGCGTCGCGTCGGTGTGCCAGCATTGCACTCACGAGAGCTCGGGATGGAAAGCTCGCGTTGCTGCACTGCTTGTGGGAAGATCGACGGGAGAAAGGACAAAGGACCCGGTTAAACGGCGACGACGTCGAACGAATCAAAGTCGCGAAGAGAAAATCGCATCATCGCGGAATGATGCGAGAGAGATATCGCCATACAACTTTATGATAAGCTGTACAACTTTATGTAACTGTGTAACTGCTCGCGCTGCACATCGCGGATTCGATATTTCGCTATTGCGCGTCGTCTCTTCCGGATGCGAGATGTGAGAGATTGAAACTGGTCTTGCTGTTTAACGATGATGCGTATCATCCTTCAGTAATCAACGCGAAAAGTATTGGATTAAAAAGAAATTTATTAATACAAAGAAATAAAGTTGGAAAAATAAGTAGATATCGATTCTATCAATTATAATATATCCAAGTTCTGACAATTTCAAAAAGAAGATGACTTTTACGGAGGTAATGCCGATTCCGAAACGCGATAGTTGATACGAGGGCAAGAGAAACATGACGTGGTAAAATTGTATATCACACCCGTATAATCTTAATAACGAAGTATTCCTCGTGCATTCTTGTGTAAAACACGGAGCGTTTGTAAACATCAGGCGACGCACTGTCGTGATCGTTGCCTGCTAATTGCGAACGTTAAAGCGCGTGTTCATTCGTACGCGTACAAGTGTGAGAAGGGTATTGCTTAACCCATTTTCTTAATGGCAACGGAAGAATCCAAACTGTCGTTCCTCGTAGCGTTTTAATTTCAACAAATAAAATAATTTTCATCTCACGTATTATTACACGATATGTCGATATACATATTTTAGCCTCGAGTAAATAATTTCCGATTCGATATTATCTTACGCATCACGCGAGGTATTTTAATTGAAAATAAATAAATAATTATGTAATGATAAGAGGAATTATATGATCATTATTGGAATGCGGCGAGAAGATCCCTTCATGATGATCTCGTTGCCCATCTTCGTGGTAAAAGGGTTCGAGTAATCAAGCTCGGAAGGATCGTGTGCATTCGGTACACCACGGACAGAAACCGGGGAACCTCGTGAAAGCCGTCGAAAGGCCCCGAGTCCCGAGTCCATCGGCCGAGAGCTACCCACGACTCATCGTGTCGTTATATACGCGATGGTTATTACCGCTGCGCTGCCGTTGCCATTGCCGCTGCTGCAAACCCATTACGATTGCCGTGGCATTCTTCATGTTTGTCTTACCTCTCTTTCTCTCTCGTGTCACCTAGTCTCTCTAGTCTCTCTCTCCCTTCTGCATCTTCCTACACACCCTCGTCCTATCTCCCGATGACAACGCTCTGTCCAGTCCCATCGACTTTGCTCGTTTTAGCCTCGTTCTCATCTATCCCTCCTTCCCTCTGGCAGAAGAGGTGACTGGATACTTAGCCGCCGTTGATCGCGATTCATCTCGCGAAATTTATATAGCTTGTTATGAGCGAATGCGAGTAACGATTTCGTCTCGCTGATGCTGGTCACGATCGACTTGAAACTCGAGCACCGTCTCTTCTTCTATAGGAGGTGTATTAAAGAGACGCCAATTTGCGAAATCGTTGCTCGTTTTGTTCACCTTGTTGGTCGATGAATGTTTATGAATTGATGCTACAGCTAAGAGTTGTTGCAGAAGAGAGAGGGATTTTTAATAAACAGAGTAAAGATAAATCTTCTCGTATTAACGAATTTAACATTATTTTACGTCCAAGAATCGCGACTGATAAAATAGATACGAAAATACGAAAACCGTGCGGTATATATTTGAAGTTTATCTCATCGCGTAGAGGCGCGATGTCTCTTCCAATCTATCGAAAAGCAACGAGGCGAAAGCGCCGAATTACGGTAGGAAGAGAACCGACAGACCGTCGCAAACTGTCGCCATCGATCAGGGATAGGGTTACGACCGGCCCTTCGCGATCCCCGTCGCGCTTCAACGACCACGAAAACTAACCATACCGACGCCAACCACATCTACACACCATCGACATCATCCATATCGTAGGACAGAATTTGGCGCCTCCGTCCGATCGGTCGCGCCGGATGCCGATCGGAAGCAACGACCTGAAAAATTACTTCGTGTTCATACATGGTGATAGCTGTCAACGGACATTATGATTGTCGTCGAAATTATTGCGTTTGTCTTTGCCATTTTTGGGTGGGACTCTCCGCGCGAATCGATACAAAATTTATCTCTAGTTTCAACAATTATTTAAGAATTTCTTCGGTTGTATCGAAAACGTAGTCTAGAGTTCTAGAGCAATACATGTCATTTTGCAGTGGAAGAAATTTGATCAAATTTGTAAGATCGGGTACCAATAAAACAACATCCTGCTCAAACTACGTAAGTGTAAAAACATTCTCGCAAATTTATATGTACATTATTATGTTAAATTAAATTAACAGAATGAAGAATGAAGATTCTGTATAATTCCAGTGCCACGAGAGAGATTTTGCAGTGTCTTAAAAATATATTTTTCTAATATTAATTATTATTTGTTTCAGGCGGAAGCGGCTCGTTTTCTTCGTAAGCTGAACCCATAGTTGGTTTTAATCGGTCGCTCCATCGATGCATTCATTCTAGGTGAAGATGAGGCAAGACAAGAGTCGGAGGCGGAGAGAAGAGGAGGATATATTATGCTCGGTGCCTCAGTGCCGCCTCACGTGCTCATAAACTCAGCACTCGGCGATGTGCACCAAAGCGGAGGGCAAGTGAAAGTCCTTCGAAAGACATACGGAATCGAAAGAGAGAGAGACGAGTTTACCGCGTACGCGTGTGCGCGAGCGCGTGGCCTCTTACTTTTTCGCACTTGTGCATCACGCCGCGCCGCGCCGCGGCAATATGCACGCGTGTGCGGTGCACGTTGCGTTCTCTCGAACTTGCGCGACCCGCGCACGTGAGAAAAAAACGAGCCGCTGCTCTTTTTTTCCTCCCCGAGTACAACCTCAGCTGCGAGTTTACTTACCGGTCCGTAGCGATAGCAAAATGTTAAATTATTTAAGAAGAAAGTTGCAAATATAAACGAAGAGAAAATAATAATCCGAATGATCTCTTCGATGACTATTGATGTGCAGTACTCTCGGAGAAGATGATGCGAGCAGAGCGGCGAGATTTTCTCAGTGGAAAATAATCAGCTTGAATTTTCACCCTTGGCTCAGTAATAGCGCGTCTATCGAAAATTACTCGGTTGCCGTTAATCGAACTTTCGCTTTTAAAGTCACAAGTGCGGCCCCCCGAGGCCGCATCTCGTCTAATCGTCGCCGGATCGACGTAATACCTACGTAACACGCACGCACGATCTGGATGGAGCTGCTGCATCGCACCCAGGTCGCGTTACGGGTTACGAGGCGCATCCCGCGGCATAATCGAGTTAAACGAGCGCGCATAAAAAACAAAACGGGAGCAGCGGCAGTAGCCTCCTCTCTTTCTCCTCTTCTCTCCTCCCTCGGTTCGGGATCGGGAACGCCATGCGAAACCGTAGGGTCGGTACCGGCGAAAAAATTAATTGGGCGGATGTAATCCGACGATTCCCACGATTCGACTATGGTACCGGGCGGCAATCTCTCTCTTTCGCTCTCTCTTTCTCTCGCTGCGTGTGCAGGTGGCGGACGATGTAACATACGAATCGACGATCCGGTCCATTATCGTCGCTTGCTCGTTCGCTCGCGCAAATCGCTTACTCGTACCTCGGGCCTTTTTAAGGCCGATCGAGCCGGACCCGCTCGCTGATTGTCCGTATGTTGTGTTTTGATCGACAAACGGAAATCCGCGCTGTCGCCGGTCGTTCGACATTCGATAGCTTCGCTGTCCCACGATACCGCAGTCGCGTCGATCGTGTTTTTGTAAATTACGGACGAATCGTATATGTACAGCACGAATATCTTTCCGACTCCGATATCTCTAAATCATTTTTCAATTTTAACTTGCGTGTTTCCACTGATAACTGAATAAAATCATAATATGAATTGAGTTACCGTAAGTCAATTAATTGCTAGTATATGATTTTATGATTAAATAACATGAATTAATCGCGCTACGAAAAAAGAGATAACGTTAAAATAACCAATTAAAATCGCGCGATTTGCTGAAGATATTACGGCGTCTCTCGCATTTGCGTTTAATCGCACCTTCGCAGTCCATCTCGTCCGTTACGAGAGAGAGAGAGAGAGAGAGAGAGAGAGAGAGAGAGAAAGAGAGAGAGAGAGAGAGAGAGAGATAGAGAGAGAGAGAGAGAGAGAGAGAGAGAGAGATCGCCGTAACAGTAATTCCTAGAAAATGATTATGGGCGAGAAGCGCGCGTAGGTGGCCGACAGAGGATTTTCCGAGAGGGTGAAGGCACAAGGCACCTCTCTGGCTCTCTCAATGTAACGCGGCCGTAACGTTCACTC